GCAGATTTTATTCACATGGAGCTAGAGACCAGACGACACCATTTGGCTTTTTGCTCTCATTAAAAATATCCGCTGCAAACATTTTACCCTTTTTTTTAAATAAAAAAGAGATAGTTGCACAGTCTCTTTCAGTGTAGCCATGTCTGCCATGCAAATTCCCAAAAAAACGTATGGTGATCATTCATAATATCTTAAATCAATGAAAATGGCCGAAAAACAGATCTTAAAAGCTCCTAAAACATAGAGAAAAGTTATCTGAAGCTTTTCCAAACGCTGCAGTAGATTGATCTGATTCATGTGAGCAAGTTTAGAACTCCATGCTTAAGTCTCCTAAAATGGAAGTTCCATCTCACAATTGTATCATAACCTTTCCATCCTACTCGATAAGAACTTCCCAAACTCATTTTAAGTAAACAAAATCTGGATGCTCATCACTATGATTTTCAGCATAGAAATATAAATTTAATACTTTTCTTATGCAGAGCAATCATCACGAGGTTCTTTACAAGTAAGAGGAAGCAATATTCCGGACATCAGAAGGCATAAAAGCAAGGATTAAAAGAACAAGAAATATGCCAATAGGAAGCACCAACAACATCAATGGCGGGGGAGGTAATGGTGGCAGTATAAGAGGAAGAATCAGTAGCGATGCGGTGAGACAGAAAAGTACCATCAAGGATTGTGCGCTGAAGTAGCTTGAAGGCACAATTATCCTGTTGTTCATATTTGCTTGAGGACTTTTAAGGCCTGCAACATGTCCCTGAGCCAATGGCCTTCTGCGCAATCCAGATTTCTCCATTTTGCAACAATGGTGAATTTGTCAACGGATTCTGAATATATCAACCACGACGGTATGCCCAAATTCATTTAAAACCACCAAGATGGCAGCTTTGTTCTTCTCGATCGATTTCACAGGACTGTCAAAATCCTTTTTCTCCTTATAAATTTGAAGTTTTGGTGTCACCTTGGTTGATCTGCCCCACTTTATCAAGCAAATTAGAAAACCTGTTGAATAGAAAAGATTCAAAGTTCAGTTTCAAATTTATAAACTGAGCAAAAATTAAGAGTTTTTGAAAGAGCACTATTGTGCAAAGAATGGAGAAACTTCAACAGCTTGGTTTAGAAAATGTGGCAAAATATCCCAGGTTTTCTTTTCTCTATTTTTTCTGATTTCTGCCCAGCAGAACATGAACAAAGTTGACGAAACCATAGGGAAATGAATCAAAACAATAGATAAAGGGAATGAGGAGGAGCACTGTAAGCTGCTATGAAACAATGATGATTCATTAAACCTCCTAATTAAAATCTTGTTTGAATAAAAAAAAGAGAAAAATCAGAGAATTGTAAACCTTTCTTGCTTGTTTTTCCTTCCACTCCGGGAATGGAAGCCAATCAAAGCCGACTCTCTTCTCCAAAAACAGATAAAAGCATCCCAACAAAAGAAAAACACATTAGCGATTCAAACTTCTGCTTCTAATTCGTCTTCGTCTCTCCTGGGGTTCTAAGAAGACCAACGAAAAGAAGAACAAATGTGTTTTTCTTGAGACTCCGCATCAAAATAAAAAGAGATCGAAAAATTCAGCCATCTCGGTCAAAATTTACGGCATCTTTTAACTTTTTCCCATTAAAAAAACCCTAAAAATAAAAACTTTACTCTCCGATGGTGATGTGGGCGTCGCAATCTCCACTATTTTTAAATGCTTCGGCTGTAGAATCATCAGAGAAGATTGAGGTTTTGAGGTTGGATGCATTGAACTCTTCCCCCCGCAAGATCGTATCTTTCCATGCCAGCAGGACTTCGAATTGGTGGCTCTGATCTTCCCTTCTGAAAAGGCGAACTTTCATTAATTTTTTTTGGAGGTTCCTCCCCCCTGGCCTCTGCATCTCTCATCGTATGTGTACGGCGATGCCTCGTTGTACTCAACCGGGAAGAACATTGTATTTATTAGAGGATATTTAGCTGGCAAAGTTGCAACTTGGATTCATTAATTTTTGTTTAAGATATTAATTAGGAGTTCCAAATGTGTGGCCATTTGATTAATTACGTTGATTAAGATCTATAATAAAGTAATTGCGACAATTGTTAAATAATACTTCAATTTTTTTCTATAAAATTAATATTAAATTATTTTGTTAATATTCTATATTTCTATTAATGTCGAGCCGTTCGATTCGAGTATAAGCTCGTCAAAATCGGAGACCGTTTGGTAACTCAAATTGCGGTTTGAACCTTCCAATAGCGCTTTGAGCCTTTGATTCGAACTCATTTGGGCTTGGATTTAGTTGATCTTGGTGTCGTTGGGTTTGTATTTCCGAGACGCTCAGTTTGACTATAAGATCGCTGAAATCGGAGTTCGGGAGCTTTCAAATTTAATTTTTGAAGTTTCCAACTAGCTTTTGCCTCAAGATTCGTGCCCGATTAAGATAATTTTGTGATGTCCTATCAGATAGGTTACACAAAATCGCCTAAATCAAGAACGAATCTTAAGGCATATTCATGATGACAATTTTAAAAAATAAAATACAGGATCATCCAAACTCAATTTTCAACAAACTTGTGGTCAAATTGAATGTTTCAGTGAGACTAACCCAACGACAAAAAAATCGGTCCAATTCGAGCCCAAACAGACTCAAACCAAAGAATTAAAACATATTTAATGCTTCAAAGCATTTATTGGATACCAAAATAATATCCAAATATGATATGTTTATAATCGAGTTGAGCGACTCGATGAGACAAATCCAATGAGCCCAAAATTGCTTTATTGTGACATCATTAAGGCACCTAAAAGCTTGATGAATGCTCTATAAACAAGAGAATTTTATGGGCCGTTCGATAAAGCGGACAGCTGGAAATCCAATAATGTTCAGTCGTCAGGAAGAGATTTGACGACAATAGTAGATGGGAGGATTCCCGATAATCATAAACTAGTCCTTTGATGTTGTGAGTCAGTTAGTATACCAATAAAAGTCTATTTGAAGTTGTTATGTGACATTTCGATGTTGGTGATCGAGCGATGAGTTGATGGTGACTATCAGGCTGCATTTTATTATAGATAATATGCTGATAGAGCATATGATGGACAACTTAATGGAAGGGATCAAAAAAATGTGTCGATCGAAACAGTTTAGCGACACACTCATGTTATCAATTAAGTTGAGGCTTAATTGTCAGGGCAATGATTTGCAAGGAGTTTTATGATGAGTTGATCATTATTCTCGAAAGATCTGATTGGGCACGTGCTCCTCCACCAAGATTTATTATAGTGTATGAAATGACGTTGATGAAAATACTTCAATTCATACAAATTTAATTTCAGCTCCATATACAATATTAAAGAAGTTTGTATATATAGTTGAATGTGATGTAGGAATTTAGAGATCACCAATCGATAGAAAAGTTTGATCTTTGAGATGGACCGAATTTGGTGTCATTGAGTTCGTCTCATTGAGATGTTCAATTTGACTATAAGCTTGCTGAAATCGGAGTTTGGATGATATCGAATTTAATTTTGAAAGTTTCTAATTCCTATTTGATCAAGATTCGTGCATGATCAAGACAATTTTAGCGAAGTATCAATGTTATATAAGTTTCATTGAAGGAAGCAACTTTCAAGTAGAAAATAAATTCTCCAAATTAGATAATTACATTTTCCATTTATAATATTTATTTTTATTATTCTAATTGAAAATAAATGGATTATCATGCATTGTATGCTAATTAATTGATAGTGCAATATCTCAAATATTTTTAAAATAAGTATAAGTGTTCATTGGATTTTATAAATTTTGTTCTCTGATTTTAATACTTCAATTTTTAAAAGTAATTATGATTGTTAATTGGATTTCATTGATATTAAATAGTTATCTTTGAATCTCTCCTAATTTTAACCTATACATACATGTGATCAGACATTATTTGGAAATAATAAGCCAAACTATCCAAGCAAAAATACCACTTCAAATATAATATTATTTTACATGTTTAGATTTTTTTTAGATTTTTAAAAAATTAAAAGTAATAATAAAAAAATTAGTGAAATAAAACAAAAAATAATAAAAAAATTTTGATCCTAAGAAAGTTTAAAATATTTTTTATTATATAAATATAGGCTCACTAAATTTAATTTAAAATAATTTTATAAAATATTATCTAATAAAAGGATTAAACTAAAGGTTGAATATATTTGTATTTCACCTTACTTTGGTTATTTAAAATAATCTGTATAGATAGATTTATAAGATTGATTTCTAAATTTTCAATAAAATGTATTATATTTATGCTTGTTAATCTTATTTATTATTATCCTTTAATTTATTTAAATAATATATCTTCAAATATAATAGAATTAATATCATGATTTTTTTTCAGTTAATGAGATTACTTCTGCTTTTATTTCTAATATATATATATATATATATATATATTAGTGCACTTTATCCCTTGGTGAGAGAGAGAGATGAGAGTGCAAATTATGCTCAAAGTATTGAAAAAATGAGATAAGGTCTAATATGCTTTTAAATCTTTTATTTATAGAATTTCGAGGGTTATATGGAACTCTGCTCCATAAAGATAAACTGATAAAAAAGTAGTGCTAGCGATCTAATCCTAGATTTATTAGCATACTATTTTGATACATCCATCTCAACTAGAATACAAGTGCATTGTGTTATGTACTCGCTACCTTTTGTGTTATTCATTTGAAGAGGTTTGCTAAATATCTTTCAGTGGCAAAGATTACATCTCCGATTAGTAAAATATAATTTTATCGAGCAAGACAATCCAAATGAGAACAACCAAAGACTCATGAACAACTATTTTAATGTATTCAAATATTCTAGATGACACGACAAACAAAACTATTTTGATTTAGGCCCCCTGAATAAATTTTTTGACTCCGCTACTGTATATATGAAAATGAAATCAACCTTCCAAAATAATAAAAAGAGAAGAAGAAGAAAAAAAAAAATACTAGTTGAAGCACTCATAATAGAACAACTTATAGCTCCAAATTAAATGGAGATTTAATTTGACCCATAGGAGTCTCCACATCAACTTCCCCCTCAAAGACAAAACCTTTTCTTCTCCTCATCATTTCCCACAACCCTAGCACAATATCCTCCCCCCTCAAACACACTAAAACCCTAAAAAAACCACTCCCTTTCTCCCTCATCTCCACCTTCCCACCCTCAAGCTTCAAAGACCCAACCTTCTTCTTCACGCCATTAACAAAAGCTCCAATCTCCAACCAATTATTCCGAACTACATACCCAATCGCATTCTCCACCTCAAACCCCACCTTAACGTTCACCTCCTCATTTGAAACCATTCCGACCGTTGCAATCTCCCTGAGCTGAATCCGAGGCACGAAAGGCATCAGAAACTCACTCTTCTTCTCCACCGGTACAATAAACCTTCCTATAAAGGGCAAATACAATATAACTTCAACCCCAGCTTTGTAAGGCACAAGGGTTCCAGGCTTCAAGCTGCTGTAGAAATCTATCATGTTGTTGTAAATGATGGAGATTGGGACCGTGATAACGTGCGTGTTGTGGGCTTTTATGGCCTTCAGGCCGGTGAGGGAACCGCAAACAGGGCGAATTTTTTGGCTTTCGAGGAAGTAGTTGACGTCGGCGAGGGGGATTGGGAGAAAGCTCGGGTTTGTTACGGCAACGGTGATGGAGAAATCGGCCTTCTCTTCGCTGAAGGAGACGAAGTTGAAGTCCGTTATGTTGGCTGTAGGCATTAAGCGACGGACGGTATTGGAAAGCCACTGCATTGTTAGTATTGTCTTCCTCCTCTGTCTTTCTTTGGAAGGAAGGATTGTGCAGTAAAGCGATGGTATAAATATGAACTGGGGCGACTGTTCGGGCGGCTGGGTTAGCGTACCCGCCGGCGGCTGGGGATGACGACTCGTAAATTGAAAAAAGATGCGATCTTTCCAATGATTCATTCAAGATCATGTCGTGAATCGAAACTAAATATTTTGGGAAATTTTTGCAATGGTTGTTTAGGGTTGAGTGTAAGGAGTTATATGTTTTTAGGGGCTGTTTGGTTGCCTTAAAAAAGAATGCAGTGTGGAGGTGGTGGTCGCTATGGGTTGTCAATAGAGATGTTAGTATTTAACACAATTTGAAAACCCAATTTGAACATAATCCGAAAAATTCAGATTTTGGTCAACTCGTTTGTGAAACGGATCGAGTTCGGGTTCAACAAATCGTCCAGTTTTAAAATTCGGGTTGAGTTGGGTTGACCCGGAAACCAGAGAAATGACCCGGCATATTGAACCTGATCACAATATAAAGCGTTCTCGCTCAAATTGGACGAGAATGCTTGAACGAGAACGATTTATGTAAAAAGTTAACTAAAACGGAATGCAGTTCATTTACTTTATTTTTTCAAGAATTTGATTTTCATCCAAACACACACCAAAAAAAAAAAAATGCAATGCATTTATTTTACTTTAGAATTCATTTTTCTTCCAATCAAACAGCTCTTTAATTATTCTAGAAGACATATTTCCAAAATGTATTAATATTAATGTAATATTCTTAATTTTATTAATACTTTAAATTATTAAATTAATAAAAAGTAATAATACATAGAACATATGGACATTATTAGCATTAATGTTAATAATCTTATCATAATTAATTTTCATAATTTTGTTTAAAAACTCTATTCTTATTTTGAGATAATAAATCTAATTTTTGTTTAAAAACTCTATTCTTATTTTGAGATAATAAATCTAATTTTTATTATAGAATAATATGAAGTTAAAAATCCTTTGATATCAGGATATTTAAATTAATTAATTATTCATTAATTTATATAAATCAGCCTTAGAATAAAATTTTTGGAAATTTTGTAATAAGAATTGATATGTATCGATTATTTAGTAGTGATATATCATCAAAAAAATATCTCGATCGGGCACGAATCTTAAGGCAAAATCAACCTGAAAACTTCAAAAATTAAATCCGGGATCATCTGAACTCTAATTTAAGCAAACTTACAGTCAAACTGAGTGTCTCGGAAATACGAGCCCAACGATACCAAATTCAACTCAATCCAAGCCCAAATGAGTCGACCCGAATTGCTGTTAGAAAGTTCGTACCACAATTTGAGTTACCAAACGGTCTCCGAACTTGACGAACTTATAGTCTAAAAGAGCGGCTCAACGAGAAAAATTCAACGAGCCCAAGATCGCCAAATTCCGACATTATTAAGACCTTCAAATGTCTGATGAACAGTGCTCGATCAAGGGATTCAATAGCAGCCGTCCATTCGACCACTCCCTATTTGCCCCTCATCTCACACCTCTTTACAAGCTATGCCACTCCAGAAAATCTATAAATAGACCACTCATTTCTCATGAGAGGGGACCCCAAGCAACAAGAAGATAAGAAGAATAGAAGAAGAAGAGAAGGATATGAGGGAATAACTCCTCCTCGACCACCGAGAGAGTTCTGCCCGACGCCGGAATTATGTCGGACTTCCGAACGATGCCGGAGTTTTGTCCGACGCTAAAGTGACGCCAAAGTTCTGCCTGATGCCAGAATTCTGCTCAATCTCTAAAAGACACCGGAACTCTGTCCGACGTTGTAATTGGATCTCAAATTCGGAAGTGAAGCATTGTAAACTATTTGTCCTAAATTTTAAGGACAAATCAGCCTTTTGTACTTCAAACAAATACTAGTGGAATTATTTCAACTGGGCATGGCCCCGTGGTTTTTTTCCATTCCAGGGTTTTTCACGTAAAAATCCTGGTGTTTCTATTTCTTTCATGTTTGTGTGCTAGATATCCGTACAACGTTGAGACAAAAATTTACTTACTCTATCGCTGCGTATATTCTAGCTCGTAACAGTTTGGCATCGTTTGTGGCAAACATTATCCCACAACTTCAAGTAGTGCTACGATGGTCAACAGGTGCAGCAGTCGTATCGTTGGAGCTTCTCACTCCAACTCCCACCAGTCCAGAAATCAATCTATGAATCATAGACGCCAGATATCTGCCTCTTTCTACCATGGGGGGCAAAATGCCACTGGAGAAGGAATCTCAGGACCTTCCTTAGAAGAGAGAATCCAAAAGATGGAAGAATCTCAGAATGAGAACCTTCAACTCCTGCGAGAGACTAGACAACCGGCACTAGCACAATGGGAGGAAGTTCTTCTCCCTCGAGATCCACTACGGGTTGAAGATGTTCAATTCGAGCATCTTCAAATAAAGATTCCTCTTCCTCCGCCAAGAAGGCAAATACATTCACAACAGAACAATGAACTTGCTGATACATTAAGTTCTACCCATCCCTCACACACTGGTCGATAACCTCGCATTCATCCAGATCTTCCTGAAGACACAGCCCATCCACACGTTACTGGGCTCTCTCATAATGCCCTACGTCATGAACTACGGATTTTAGTATGGGAAGAGTTCCCCCGAGAAGATGTAAGGCAAATGCTCCGACAGAGGGACTTTCAGGAATCATCACCTCTAACTGAAGTCATTCTTCAGCACCCCATTCCTGTTGGATTTAAAGTACCCATCATCGAGTCTTACGACGGGACGCCCGATCGTATGAGCATATCGACCACTATAGAACCATTATGCATATTCAACGAGCCTCGGACGCAATCCTCTGCCAGGTCTTTCCTGCGACCCTTAAGGGACAGGCTCGTACATTATTCTATTTGCTTCCATCTGAACGATCCTCTCATTTGTCTAATTGGCCAAAATGTTCATCGAGCAGCTTGTGGCCAATCATAGAATTGCTAAGGATTCTTCTCACCTCTTAGGGATCCGTTAAAATGAAGGTGAATCGTTGAAAGAATATTTTCAATGATTTTTCATCGAAGCTCGACAAATTCTAGGAGTAGATCCTGAATTACTGAGAGGAGTCTTTCTTGGAGGCCTTCGTTATGGCCCCTTCTATTTGGCGCTCTTGCGAGACACTGTTCATTTATACGCCGATCTAATCCATCACGTGGAGGCACAAATCTCTACAGATCAGGCCATAAATGCTTATAGAAAAAAGTTTGAGCAAGCTAATGGGAAGCGTGAGGGTACACCTGGAATAGATAATTCATCCTCATAACGGAAGAAGTAAGGAAAGAACAATCTACCTCCTAGGCCTCCATTGCCATGACGAGAACCTCGACAGGAGAAGGAGTACACTCCACTCAATACATCTCGAGCAAATGTATTAATGGCTATTTTAGATCAAGATATAGTGAAATGGCCGCATCCCTTGAAGCCGAACACAGGAAATCAAGATCAGTACTGTCACTTTCATCTTAGTCGTGGCCACACTACCGAAGCCTATAGGCAACTTAAGGAGGAGATTAAAAGACTTATCCACCAAGGCTATCTTCGACAATTTATTCGGGATTCACCTACCCGAAAGGAAGCTCGTCCCGCTGGAGGGCAAAATCAACAACAGAGATAATCGGTGAATAACTGAGTAATAGTTGGTGAAATTGAGACCATCGCAGGGACCGGACGTAGAGCTAGTTCGCCCGCCAATAACATGTTGCCACGTGCTCTTACTCTTTACGGCGCGGCCCAACGACTTGACCCGAACCAGAACTTGGGAATGCTATATTCACGTATTGCGAGGTACTACTCAATATTTTCTCGGTATTGCTTGACAATAATGAGAAATATCGCTCTGTGAAGACCAACACCGAGCAATACTGAGTTGTACTGAGTTGTATCTTAAAAAAAAAAAAACTTGGTACAACTTGATTTGCTCGGTATTTGCTCGGTATTGCTCGGTATTGCTCGGTATTTGCTCGGTATTGGTTATTGCATAGCAAAATCGAGCAATACCTAGCAATATCGAGCAAAACCTAGCAAAATCAAGAAATACTGAGCCATCATGGGTCCGTTCCGAGTTGGGTTGTTAGGGCGCGTGGTTAATGGTGAGAACGTGTGGCACGATTCTACTAGTGGCCTAACGTAGAGCTACATCCTGTGACTGGACCAAATAAAAGTTCCATCGCAGGAGGCCTCTTACTATCTGATAAAGTCTTTTTGGTTGTAGATGAAAACCCAACGCCAAAGAAAGATTGTATAGATCACTCTATCACCTTTGATGATTCTGATTTGGATAGAGTCAAAACCCCTCATCAAGACCCGCTTAAAATTAATGCGGGGATATGTGATCCGTGTTATAACGTCAAAATAATTCTTGTGGATTACGTAGATGTCCCATTCTACTCAACTTTTCTCAATATGGGTCTCACAAGAGAAAAGCTTCAACTTGCTGCAGGTCCACTATACAGTTTTGGCAATCGACCTATACGAGTAGAGGGGATAATCAGTCTCCCAGTTATACTGGGAGAACTCTCTTGACAGACTACACACTCCATTCAATTCATTATTGTAAAGTCAGAATCGACATACAACGCTATTTTTGGGAGGCCGCTCCAATCAATTTTTGGGATCGTCACCTCAATCCCTCATATTAAGATGAAATTTCTTACTCCGATAGGAGTCAGTGTAATATGCGAAGATCAACAAATAGCACAAACATGCTATCTTAGGCAGGTTAAACCTCGCCTAATAGTTACTCTGAGCATCGAGGACTTTGATCTTCGGAGCGAGCATATCCCTCAAAGAGCCTCTCCTATATATGACCTTACTACTGTACATATCTCTGAAGAACATGCTTCGAAGACGGTGCAGATTGGATCACTTCTCTCAGACGACGAGAAGAAAAAATTCACAAATTTTCTACGTGAAAATCAGGATATTTTTACATGGAGTCCGATAGATA